AGTCGATTTTCGAGGAGAAAAAATCATCGTTAAGCTAGAACTGAAACAACTCGCTCATTAGGCAGACACCATCAAAGGAATGAAATGGGGTTTTGTTTTGGGAACCAATCAAAACGCATGCAACCGATTAGCTCCGATACCATTCAGCGCAATATCAATAAGAAGGAGAGAAAACGTGGTAGTGGATTCATTCGAGCAGAACTTCCCGAACGTGAAAGACATAGATTGTCTGCGAGCGACAAATATTTTTTGAAGTCAATTGGTCTGAAGTTACGATAACCAGCTGCAAGATGGTTGCAACAGCCTCTACTAGCCCCCAATTGGACGTGTTTGATGAACCAATTTTAGATCATTCACTGATGAGCCTACATGAGCACACATACAAACCATATGGGTCACCCTCATTCAAGAATTCTGATGAAATAAGGATCGCCGTCAACTTTCAAGATCTGATTCTTGATATTTCTGAAAGTTACATCTATATTGAGGGAAAATTCACACCAAACGATGCCACTAAAACCTGCTATCTATCTAATAATGCTCTAGCATTCTTATTCGATGAAATACGCTATGAAATGGGTGGAGAACAAGTATGTATGGTGCGAAAACCAGGCATCACTACTACCATGAAGAGTATGATTTCTTATGGAGAGAGTAATATGAAATTCCTAGAGACAATTGGATGGGGCCTTGATGGTGGCAAGCAGGTGCTTCTAGATAAAGCTAGCAACGTTTTTAGCGGCAAACTACCCCTTAAATATCTGATGGGGTTTGCCGAAGATTATTGTAGAGGTATTTTGAATATCAAACAGGAGCTAATACTCATCATAGCTCGCTCATTCAAGAACTCATATATTGGGGAAGTGGACGCCGATGTGGAGATTAACAAAATTGAGTGGAAGATAAGACATGTGATGCCATCAGATAAGCAGAAATTGAAGCTATTGACCCGTTTGAATAGAAGTTCTACGGCAAAAGTGAAAATTGCATACAGGATGTGGGATCTGTATGAGTTACCGACTATTCGTGAAACAGCATCTGACATTTGGGCCGTTAAAACTACCAATAGCCTCGAGCGGCCTCGATATATCATCATTGGATTCCAAAACACTGATAACACTGATAATAGATCTGAGGATATCACACAATTCACCCATGCAGGAGTGAGCAATATTCGCCTGTATTTGAATTCCGAAGTTTATCCATACGAGCGATGGAATTTGGATTTCGATAAGAAATTAGATGCAGTAGCCTATTATGCATATGACAACTTCCAACGTAGTTACTACGGCAAAGACATGAGCGAACCAATGATGAGCATCGAGGAATTCCGAAAAAACCCACTATTCATCATTGACTGCAACCACCAACCCGATGCGATGAAATCCTCCACTGTCGACATCAAGTTGGAATTTGAAACACGAAAAACGAAGTTTCCATCGCACACCAAAGTTTACGCACTTATTCTTCATGATGCATATTTAACTTATAGTGCACTGGATGGTTCCATACAGATGGGTGCTTTATAGACATTGAATGTATCATGTTCATGTTAATAATAACGGCCATTTCGAGATTGATTTATATATTTGATATCATAGTTATTGTTCTAGAATCCGTTGTTGTTATACTGAATAAAACGAATATATACCATATTTATTGTTTTATTTCTATACATATACATTAACAATTATAGTACCCATACATCTTATAAGTATTCAGAGGTTGAAGTAGCCGTTGTGTGGAGATTTAATGCAGAATTATAAGCTTTTTTCTTCTTCTTGTCCTTCTTCTCCTTCTTCTAAATCAGACACCTCTGGAGTTATTCCAATGCTATATTTCCGGACGAGATGGTTCGGCAAAAAATCGGAAATTTCATACAGGAATTGCACTAAGTCCTCTTCAACCATGGCTTCAACAAATTCCTCTACAACGGGCGCAGAGTAGGAACCCCAATTTGTATTGCTCAGCTTGCTTGCAGAGGTTCTGAACCTGTTTTTGATCAAAGCACACACTCGTGTCATAATTAGCTGCATGCATTGCGTCCTGCTCTAAATCGGCAAACTGACATTTCAGCCTCCTCACACTCGACTTGATATCTTCCGCTACCGGCCAAGATTGACTGGAATAATGCATCCACATATTGCACATCTATTGAGGTGAATTATCCTGCAACATAAATGGAAAAAATACTTAGGTCACGAGTGAATGAGTTAAAGAATTGATCATTAATCGAATTATATATCTGTAGCACCACTCACCTATACAAATTCAACCTTCATCAGAGTGTGATATAATAGGTTATATATAATATGTAAGGATTATCATATAGTATTCAAACCCATTTACACTACACTAAACGTGGCTGATGCATCCCTATGATTAAATTAATTTTCCTATATACTATTAAATGATCTTTACATTTATTTCACATCGAATTTCATGAGAGCTCTCGTCTTTGCACCCGCGAATAGAGGCTCACTCTGTCCCAAGTATGTTAAAGTGTAAAGACCGTTGGAAGAATTTATCTCATCAATATCGCTCTCCATAAATTTGTCAACAACTCTTTTTGGTAACCAAGTTTTCAAACTCACTTCGGTCTCTTCATCATATAAAATTACAGTACCACTCCTACCGAATCTGGTTCCGCATAATGAGATTTTCTTGATAATATAGCTTTTATTGAGGGGTAGTGATGATATCAAAATTTGCTTTACAATTTCATTCTCCTCATTAATTTTATCATTAATTGAAGCTAAATCGATTTTGGGGGCAGCCATTATTTTCGTCCAAGTGAAAGGGGTGTGAATAATATATGAATAAGCGTACTTACATAAAACAGATAACCTTTTATCACACTCAAACTTTCCCAACTTAATTGAGCAGAAGCAATGTTCAATGTTATTGCAAGAACTATGCTTGTGCATGTGGCGGATTTCGTATTTATAGAAACGCAAACAACCCCCCACTATAGCGATGTGATGCGCGAAAGTGTCTTCAACTTCGAACACGCTTTCAAGGCCTCACTCTCTCTACAACTCAATGTCACTCACTCTCAAGGTCGCACATGCGGAGGTTCACTCCCACCCAAGGTCGCTTCTGCCCAATGCCACTCTTGCCTCAAGGCAACTCTTGCCCCAAGGTCACTCCGCCCAAGGTCACTTCCTCCCAAGACCACTCCTGTTCCAAGGTCACTTCCGTCCAAGGCCACTTCTGCATCAAGGTCACTCCTACTCAAGGTCACTACCGCCCAAGGTCACTCCTGCTCCAAGGTCACTCCTGCTCCAAGGTCACTCCGCCCAAGGTCACTCCCGCCCAAGGTCACTCCGCCCAAGGTCAGAGGAGAGTGACCTCGGGCGGAGAGTCAGAAACGGCTAATCTTATCTACTGCTCAGATAGTCAGGCGGCCATTCAATCTTTAACATGCAATAAAATCAGATCAAAACTTGTCTGGGATTGCCTTCAAAGCCTGCTAACCCTGGCTAACCACAACAAGGTAACTCTTCAATGGGTGCCAGGGCATAAGGGAATTGAAGGCAATGAAGCAGCTGACGCTCTTGCTAGGCAAGGGTCTGCGGCGTTGTTGATGGGACCGGAACCTGTGTTCGGTATCCCCAAAACCTCAATACGCGGCTGGCTGGCAAGGCGGATGCAAGAAATACATCAGGCATACTGGAACAATGTCCCAGGACAAAGACACAGTAAACTGATGGTTGGAACACTGTCCAAAATAGTGACTAACGACATTCTGAGCCTAAACAGAAGTCAGATCAGACAAGTGACGGGACTAATAACCGGTCACTGCTCCTTGAGGAAACATAATATATGCATCAAATGAGCATCTATACAGACGAACCCATATGCAGACTATGCAATGAGGAGGAGGAATCTGCCACTCATGCAATATTGGAGTGCGAAGCACTAGCGCGTTGGAGATACAACCTTCTGGGAGCAGTAAACTCTCAAGAGGTCTTTCCAAAGAATGATTTGGTGAAGAGGCTGCTAAACCTTATCAAGGTAGCGAACCTGTTCACCTAAGTCAACAGCATGATCAGGAATACAATAGGCCCAAAGGCTGTAGTGTTTTGGGCTTCGAACCCTGACTGATCATTCTGCTATTAATCAATCAATCAATCAATCAACCATTCAAACGCTTAACCCAACTGAATACTGGCTCTGCATCATCATTTCTGCACCAGTGGCCAACAGCACAGTATATTATATCCTTTCTCGTGAATGGATAATATACTGTGCCAACAGTAAACTTCTATTAGCCTATAACAGGGTTCCTTGCAATGACATGTGAAAACGTTGCCAGTAAATTTCAGTAAAATCGGAACGATAAAATATACTGGGCAGTACCTACTGTTCGGGAATATCGGTACATGCTCATTATGGTGCTTTTCGCGTTTGGTGTGTCGTGTGTTGAAGTAGTGGTTGAAAATAGTTTATTCGAGCTTCAGATTTAGCAGAAGAAATGAAAATAGTCATTAGAAATGTTGGAGAAAGTTGCAGTAAAAAAGAACCCACTACCTCTTGCAATAATAGAATATCACAATTAGTTGATTTGAGCATCATCATATTTTAAGTGTGCAGACGAAAAGAGATTTGAATGAATATTCAAGATTCACAAAATGTTTTTCATCATCCTGAAGATTTATCTAATTGGGAATTTGAATATGCACAACCTTATTCAATTTAATTTAAAATCAAAATATGATATTATTTTTCTTTATTTATGTAGAAATGTAGAAATATGGGGAATTTGGAAAAAAAACGCAAAATATAAATGCGAACTTTAGTTTCCTTATAATTTTTTTATTTTCGAAAAGATCTCAAATTATCGCAAGATTCAGACCACTCTGAATAATATTCAGTGTAAAAAAATAACAGTTCCTACTTGCATTGCTGAATGGACTGAGAAGAACATTAACATTTCTTCTTAAGCGACAGTATTATTTTGTTCTAGACACATCATTTAATCTAAATATACCTAAATATCACAAATTAGATCTAGAAAGGTCATTGAATAATGACTCCATAGTCCATACTTCTGAGCACGGTTGAACCTCCTTCTCAGGGTACAGTTTGTTAGTCAAGAAAGAAAGATCGACATCTCCAAGGTTTCCAAAACTGGCTTGTTCACTTTGAAAAGTATCAAACTGGTTATCTAACTCTTTGTAGGTAGATTTATCAACTGAAACCCTGAAATAAAATTCAAGAGTTATTCGACAGAACTATGCATTCTAGTATATTTTATTTACACCCTGTATAGAGATTTTCTTATCAACACTATTATTTATTCGCAAAACCCACTGTACATACATTCTTTTGATACCTACATCGGTTTAACATCCGGCAAGTTCAAAGGATCATCTTGGATATCATCAATATCGGGAATAACAGGTATGTCATCATCAGATTCTTTAATTTTTTCATTTTGAAATCGTTCACTGAAAATAGAAAAATCATATAAAGTCAGGAAACAAAATAATAATTTAGAAAACTAACAGTTCTATGATGTTGGCTCCTGTTCCAGATCTGAAAAACCAAAAAATTTATGCTATCAAAATACTCAACATATACGACATAATAAAGATATGGGGACAAATACTTTTTACCAATAATTGAGTGGTGAGTTAAACTATACTTCCATGCGTCAATTGGCGTTGCATTATAAAAAATGTAAGTTATTTTAGGAAAGCAACATCCATGAAATATATTGGGCAAACACGTCTGAACAATGGCACAAGATTTAAGGAACATATTGCTCACTTCAGATATAATCGGTTTGATAACTCAATAAGTGTTTTTCATTATATATTTTGGATTCCTGAATCATATAACAAACAATAAAAAATTGAACAGTTTGGAAAGTATATGCATTAGTAGAAATGGAGATCTAATGATTCAAAATTTAGGACCCATCCATAGATCCATCAGATTTTGTTATTCACTTCAATATGAATAATTCAGTGTGAGTAGGGTAGTCAGTTTTTATAATCATTCTCGCTGGTAATTTATTTGCGTACGTCGTGCGTAATAATACACTATATTCAATTTTCTAAAGCCCTTCATGAGTAAATTTTCTATAAGTTTGTCAAAAAAATATCGTAATAAAGCAATTTTGATCAAGCAAGGGAATGCCTACTGACTTTTTTGATTAATCGGAATAATTTACAGCATCTTCAATTTACATTAATATTTTCAACTCAATTCATCTAATCAACAGCTATACTATAATGAGTCGCTCAGTCTGTTGTACCCGGTTGGTATTACTTACTTCGTGAATCAATTTCAATCAACTTTATTTAGGCTTGTTGACATTTTCATTCATACCTAAACCGTTTCAAGAGTTTTGAAACATACAGGGCTTTCATGTCTAAACTTACCACCCAGCATATCTTCTGATCTGTGGGGATCACAATTTTCGGAAAAATAGATCGATTTAGATATCGAGGAGGAAGTAACATACTAGTATCGATTGAAAGCCAAGTTCTTCCACTTTACCCCCAGCCACCCCTTTCACCCCTTTCAGAAGGAAAGAAAAACCAATCTGACCAGAAAAATAATTATTCATTATACAAGGGAAAAAAGTTGTAGATTTTAGCCCGAGGTCGGGAGGGAGACAAAAAAGGGTGAGCTACAATCTAATATTTTTCCCGTGTATAATTTTTTTTTCTGTGACAGGAAAAAGGACGAATCGGTATTGAGAAGATATTACATTATATTAAAATCAGAAAATCATCACTTTTTATCCCAATAAGAAATGAATTATAGCCTGAAAATTTCGATGTGAAATTTGAAGTTTTTAACAGGAATGACACCTGCGTTGCAAGCATCTTTATCATTCTTTTGAAGTATAATCAAATATCTATCAGTCTATTCTGTTATTTGATTTTGAGAAATTGTGATCTTATAGTGGTTGTTTAGTAATTTACTTATCCTCGAAGTAGAATGGAAGATAAAAAAGATTTGCAGTTCCTTCTCGGAGACGGTGTTATTGGCTTATTTTTCGGAACTAGCATTGTATGTATATAAATCCGGCAAAAAAGTACTCACTTCTTTCCCGTGGAAAAAGTTATTTATTAAAAGTGACATTTTATAACCTGTCAACAGAGATGTAATGTCAAACTTTTTTCCTGTCACAGAAGAATAATAATTTATTTTAACGATTCTTGTTGGTGATATCAACAAAAGAAAGAGAGGTTAAAAAATATAATTTTTCTACAATCGTGCGTGATTCACCCTATACCAGCACGCAATTTAGTTTGAGAAGTGTCATTTTCCCGCAACATTGCGGAATTTTTTTTTTCTAATTTTGACATGTAATGTGACACTTTTCAAAACTGACGGAAGTTTTGAAACGTCTTTACGTAACCAGTTGCGTAAAGTAAAATTGTACATAACTGGTGATGTAATGTTCATTTCATTCATTCATTTCACACAACAAGAGTTGGCAGAACTCATGTAAAACTGGTCATTATTTTTGTTCATCCGAAATGTTTCGTCAAAATTAGAAAAAATATTGTACGTGACACGTTAGGAAACGCCATTTTGTGTAACTCTGTGATGTTGCAGGATCTCGCTTCGCTCGTCCCGCAAAATCCCATCGTTACACAAAACAACGCGTTTCCTAACTGATTACGTAAATATCTATTGTCACACTAGTGCGGGAAAAACAAAGATATGATATAATGGCAAAATATAAGTGGTACGTGATGAATTATGAAAGTTTGAGTTTGTTTGTTGCAGTATTAAGTATGTATGTTCAGAATCATCCACAAAATTGCACTATTTATTGTGAAAATTAAGAAATATTGAAAAATAAAAATTGATTATTATAAAAATCCCCCTATAGATTTGGATTGATCTGATGAGAAACGAGTATTTTTGTCATGCCAATCAAACCAAAAATGATTTTGTAATTATCGAAGTGACAGACACAGCGTTACTGTCATTTTTGATTCAGTGGAATTGCCACAATGTGATCAAAAACTTCCAGCTATAGGGATGCGATACAGATGCGTTATTGCCAACGAAGTCTTAAGGAAGGTATGAGAAGCTAAACACGCGTTTTATTGAATGGTGCAACAATAAAGAAATGAAAATACCGAATAAAGAAGAAGTATTTTTGGCTCATTCCCTAGAAGTGTCTGAAACCTAGAGACCAAACACCTTATGGGCCTGCTGGCTTCCGCAATGAACCTATACATAATGCGTCAAACTGTAAGTTAACAATAGCTATTACTAATAATCAGTAGATAGAGAATATATTTCTCTCTCTTGTTAGTTGTTCCTATGTGAATGAATAATCAATTGAACAAATTAGGTAATCAATTTCCTTCGCTTGTAGAAAAAATATTGTTCCTAACTCATTCGGAAAGTCTATCCAGCACGCGACTGCCGCGTTGACACGATCGACGCGGTATTGGAAGCAATTTTTCAAAATATACTCCAATATTCTGTACTCAATAGAACAGCCTATTTTAGAATTCTTAACGAACATTTCGAAACGTTTTCCCTTCAATTTGTCTACATTTTCAAATAGCCCTTAGTTTGAGTCCATCAATATTTTCTGGCGGAGTTTTTGTGATCATTTTTTTTTCTTGTGACCTAACAAAAAATAAAAGAGAGAGTTGTCAGCTCTGGAGATCTTGCCACTCATTCTATGAATAGCAAATATTCAAAACTACCGAATATTTCTGATGAAGGTGCTAATGAATAGTCGAATGAAAAAAAGGAGTAAATCTATCAAACTTTCAATGAACTTTATAAAAAGTATACCTATACACATCAATGGCATACTCCATTATAATTCATTTCCTCTAACTCCTGATGATACCTTTGATGAACACTGACGAAATTTTCGGCCGTAACTGGCCATTTTCAACTTCAGCAGCAATTGCTAGACTTTGAATTTTATATAACTCGAGATAGGGGGTGCCATTTGGAATTTCAAAGTAGGGGTGTCTGGAGGTGAAGGGGATTAACATAGCATTCAACCGGTACTGGTATTTTACTTCCCCTCGATATCTAAATCGATCAATTTTTCCTCAAAATCACCACAGATCAGAAGATATACAGGGTGGTGAATTTTCAAATTGGAGCCCTGTATTTTTTTATTATTTTAATCACCTATACTGATGTATTATACTTTGTAATGTGTCATGGATATACCGGGTGGCTACGGAAGTATTGCCTACGAAATATCTCAGTTATTGTATGAAGTAGGTTTGTGAAATTTATTTGTGGTGGAAAATCAGAACGGGCAATTGCTTCCCCTCATTAATTTCCTTTAGGAATCATGATAATAATAAGTTTATCGTTTTAGAGCTGCCGATAACCTTTTGACTCATGGTACGCTAATCTATAAATAGAAAAAATTAAACACACCTAGAAGATTTAGGAGGATCATCGCTCCAAACACTAGTTTTCCTAGTTTTCATTGATTCGAAGGGATTTTCTTCAGCAGTTCTTGGTACGTCTCCGTTGCCTTCCAGCTCCGCAGTACTTTTGTTTGATCTTCTACCTTGCTTCGCAGCTGACTACAGGAGAATTAGATATTTATGTATCAATCGGGCGTAAAATAGGAGTTGATGTGGACAGCAATGTGTTGATAATAGCATAGACTTAGCACACAGCATATATAATATATGACATCCACCGGACGTTCTTCTCAGGTCCACTTCTAGTCCAAACATCATGAAATTTGAATGAATCTCAATAATTGTATGTACAACCATGAATTGGATGTTTCAGATTGCATGTCTGATGGAGTGACATTCAACGTATGAACATTCATATGGACGTAGGATGAACGTACAATATACGTACAAAGAGGAACGTATGCATACATAGGATACCTATATTTCAACCTGAACGTCCATTGGACATTCATTCCACTGAAATCGAAATAAATCATCAACATCCGCTGTACGTTTCAAGATGGATGAGTCTTCATTGTTGAATATTTTTGAAAAAAATACGTCAGGCGAAACTTCAGATTGTCAAATGAATACGCCAATAGTGAACGTGAACGGAATAATGAATTTTCGTTTACACCTCAAATCGCCCTATCTCATCATGGAGAAAGCCATCAATATTGAGCTTATCAAATATCTGGAGAGCTCAGGAATCATCAATGATAGACAATACGGCTTTCGCCACCGAAGATCTACCGGAGATCTACTTGCCTACGTCACCCATTTATGGCAATCTTCAATAGAAAAACACGGGGAATCTCTAGCTGTCGCGTTGGACATATCGAAAGCATTCGACCGTGTTTGGCACGAAGGACTCCTCCACAAACTACCATCATACGGCTTACCACCTCAGCTATGCCATCTCTTATCGAGTTTCCTTTCAGGCAGATCGCTTCACGTGGTGGTGGACGGTGTATCGTCTGATACCATTGGCATCAATTCCGGCGTTCCACAAGGATCAATTTTGGCACCAATATTATTCCTGCTTCATATCAATGATCTGTTGGGAGTAACAACTTGACCCATCCACAGCTTTGCAGATGATAGTACCCTCCATACTGCGTTCTCTTCCAGAATTCCCATTTCTTCCCAGGAAACTAAGAACTCACGGCGCAGGCAGGTCAATGCTGTCAATGAAGATCTTGCTGAAATCACAGCCTGGGGAACGAACAACCTAGTTGAATTCAACGCCACCAAAACTCAAGCCTGCATTTTCTCTAGAAAGGCGGAACTCAGTATGCCCGATATTGTAATGTCTGGCTCCACCATCCCCACCAAGCCCACCATATCTATGCTCGGTATTTCCATCAGCAACACTCTTTCATGGGATAATCATGTCAGATCCATCGCAAAAGCTGCTTCACAAAAACTCGGATTCCTCTGTTCCGTGCGAAAAGCTACTTTACACCTCAACAGCTTCTCATGATCTACAAAGCGCAGATACGCCCTGTTCTAGAATACTGTTCCCACATATGGGGTTCAGCACCAAAACATACGCTGATGCTCTTAGATTCCATCCAGAGAAGAGCCATTCGCCTGGTGGGTGACGCCACACTCACTCACTCTTTGACATCATTGGAACACCGTAGAAAGGTCGGCGACCTTTCACTTTTCTATCGATACTTCCACGGGAAATGTTCTTCGGAAATCTCTGCAATCATCCCTTCACTAGCAATACCAATCAGACGAACTAGACAAGCCCAGTCAGCACATCCTTTCGTTGTCAACCTCGAAAGATGTCGAACAGCACTTTATCAAGACTCCTTCATCCATAGAACGGCTAGGCTCTGGAATTCATTGCCTGTGGAAGTATTCCCAAGAACATAATAATCTCCAAAAATTCAAAAAAATTCCAATACCTACCTCCTGTCCCTATCCTCCCTAGGAACGCACGATGTTCTTTGAACATTATAGGGATTCCCTTTCGTGCGCTCCAATCGATAAAAAAAAATCAGTCACTGATGTGTTCTGAGATAAACTAAAAGACGGAGACGGTTGATGATAATGATAATACTGATATGATGACGTAATAGATCTTGCCACGTACAGCAGCGCTTCTCTCTAAATAGTGGTAGGTGTAAATTTAAAAATGGTTCACTGATGTGTACGGCGGTTCACTGTGGGACAGTAATGAAATTGTTGACAGCTGATAATCGTTTATTTTTTCTATATATAGTAACGATACCAGGTGTTCCAACTCTTTAAACATGTTCTGAAAAAACTGGCCTGAATGAGGTGTTGCATAAAAATGAGTCATTAAAACCACCTCCCGACAAACCACCCCTTAGCACAAAACATCAACTGTTTTTTCAATTACACATTAAACCCCTTCAGTATGTGGAATGTTTGAGTAGCTTATTCGCTTACGAACACAATAATGTAGGTCTCGGTAGAGGTCTATATTACATACACTCCCTGAATTGCCCTTAGATAAGTCAAATCAACAACTTATAATAGCATTATCATAATACACTCAGTTCCAAAAAAAGTGACGCACTTGATATTCGACCTTTCTTCTTAAAAAAAAATAGTAGGCTGATTTTTTTTTTAATTGTTGGTAGGTAATGCATTTGTCTTTAAAAAAAATGAAGAGGTGAAAAATTTTTCACAGCCTCCTTGATGGTGGTGGAATGACTCGAACCATGATTTATTCTTAATTTTTGAGTCACCCTGTGTGTTAATTGAGTAATGGCATAGAAAGTGCTTACACCCTATACGAAAGAGGCTTCTTTTGCGAGCATTTTGTTTTTTGATTCATTGATTTATCTCTGAAATTTTCCGAATTACAGCTTTTTTGCTGAATCCTTGCAGATTACCAACTTTCTGAATTTATCGAGAAACAATTTTCTAATGAAATAAACCAATAATTTTAAAAAACATTTATATTAAACACAAAATTATAAATTGGGATGACTGCTTAATACCGTGTATTGCCTCCTCTAGCAACTCTAAGAACTTCTAATCTACGAGGCATACTGGAAATTAAGTTGCTTATCGTTTATTTCCATTGGTAAATATACGATCCCATTCTTCCACTAATGCATCTGCCATTTCTGCGAGATTTTCCGGAGACCTCTCGCGAGAACGTACCCTTCTCCCTAATTCATCCCACAAATGTTCTATAGGATTCATATCGGGGCTTCTCGCAGTGTGGTGGTCGGATTAGAATAACCCCACGGTAAGTCCTGCCTGTCGTAGAAGGCGACTAAAAGGACGCCAATAGGTGGAAGATGGCTAACGCCATCGCCCGGTGCGATACCACCACATCAACCATAGGCACTGTGAAATGGGTATACTTACCCATGTTTCAGTAGCTGGTTGATGTTCCGGCCAACCCAACCCAACCCAATTTCCTTTTCCTTCCACGCCAACCACCCTTCTTTATACAGAATACGCGATGATGAGTTCTCCTCAAGTAAAATTATCCGGAAGTAAAATACCTCTCCATTCGGATTTCCGGGCGAGAGGTGCTAGAGGGGGTTCACCATCGGCTGAAAAAGTCCTCAAGATAGACCTATGTAACATCCGAGGTCTAAGTAAGAACATCAACGATGTCCATCGACACCTTCAAATTGAAAAGCCAGACATATTGGCTCTTACTGAGACACAGGTCAATTCATCGACCAATACGACCTATCTGCTCTGTCCTGGGTACGAACTCCACACACGTTTCAGATTCAAGGGAGGTCTCTGCCTCTACTCTAAAACGAATCTCTCATGTCAACGAGAAAAAACTTTGGAACCCAATAAGTTTGATGTCATGTGGTTCAAACTCGATAGCCAGAAACAGACCAAATACCTTTGTTGTCTCTACTTATCACCAAATGATCCATCCTATGGGGAGCTCTTCGAATTCTTGTCTCTGAAGCTTGACCAAATTCAACAGAACCATCCAGCAGCAGAAATCATCATCATGGGCGATTTCAATGTACACAACACTGCTTGGCTCGTACACTCTAACAGAACGGATGAAGCTGGGCGACAAGCCGAAGCTTTCGCCATCACTCACGGCTTAGAGCAGCTTATCAAAGAACCCACACGAATTCCCGATGCCAATAACCATTCAGCTAACATACTTGACTTATTCCTCACGAATAATTCAGCACCCTACACCATAGATGTACGAGCTCCACTTGGCAATTCTGACCACACACTCATCTCCACAACCTGCCCATTTTTCATTCCATCAACTGCTCCAGCACCCCCACGTCTTATATGGCATTACAATTCTGGAGATTGGGACGGTCTCCGCATGTTTTTCTCCGAGTTTCCTTGGCATAGAGTATGCTTTGACTCTGAGGACCCTTCACAGTGTGCTGCGGAAATATCCGAGATCATCATGCTCGGAATGGAAACATACATACCTCATTTTTCGAAAAGATCATCACCTTCGAAACCCTGGTTCAACAAAAGCTGTTCTAGAACTGTTGCCTTGAAACAAACAGCCTACCATCGCTGGCGCAAAAACCCTAACCTCGCGACTAGAGCAGAATACGTTGATGCCAGGAATAACTGCAGCCAAACAATAGATGCTTCGAAAGAAACATACAATGCCAAGATCAGATCGAAACTCATAGATTGTCCCAATGGCTCCCGTTCGTTTTGGTCCCTTGCTAAAGCGGTCGGAAGAAATTTCACTAACAGTTCATTTCCACCACTGTCCAAATCCGACGGCACATTAGCAACAACATCGCAGGAGAAAGCGAATATTTTTGCAGAAATTTTCGCAGCAAACTCTACTTTAGGTTCCCAAGGAAAAGTGCCGCCAGACATTCCTCCCGTTGAGAGTCGAATGCCCGAAATCGTCTTCCGTCAACGCACTATCAGACGAATTTTGCTTGGTCTCAAAACGAATAAAGCTAACGGTCCTGATGGAATTCCACCCATTATCCTCAAAAAATGTGCACCAGAATTAACACCGATTCTCTGCAAGTTGTTTACCATCTCGTACAGGTCGGGTATTTTTCCATCATGCTGGAAGACAGCTAGAGTCCAACCAATCCCCAAAAAAGGGAACAAGAACCTGCCCAACAACTACAGGCCCATTGCCCTGTTATCA